ATGTAGTTAACTGTTACAGATAATAATAATTTAAAAATATTTAATGTAAAAGGGTAAAAAGGAAATGAAGGATATGATTATAAATATATAATCAGTTATTGTTGATTCACCTATAATAGAACGCTGATGGACATGAAATTCCAAAACTATACTATAAGTTAGTTTATTTTTGGAAAAATAAAACATTAATTTTTAACAGCCAAACTGACAGCATGGTATTAACAATGTGTACATAGTAATTTATAGAAAGTTTTCAGCATATATTTAAATACTTAAAAAATTACTCAATGGAAAATATGTCATCAACAGGATCAGATACTTCTTTCAGAATGTATTTTTTTCATGTAAATATATAGATACTTCGGGAGAAAACAAGGCTCTTGACATCTGACCCGACTTCATGTCTGTTAACTATATTAACTTTCTAAATCATCACCTGCATCTGTCTTTCATTGACCCTCTCTTTTACTGAAGGTCATCGTCTCAATAATTGTAACTCTCTAGTCCTAATTCCATAGACAACTCCTAGGTAGAGAAAATCCTTTGAAAATCACTTTCCAAACTACTTTCGGTGACATAGATTACTTTATTGACTGATTCTGTCACTCAACAGTTTCTCTAAAAATTTCAATCATATTTAATCCCCACTGCAAAAATAAAATTCCTTCCTTCAACATGAATTTAAGTGAAGAAAACCAAAGTTTTGAGGCATCTCCACTGAATTTACTGAGAAGCATTCAGGAAGATATTACTCTAGAAAATTTAATTTTGCATTGGAGTCTAGATGTCCTTCATTTTCAACCAAACTCCAGAAATAGATATAAAAAGCAGTATTCCTCTCCTATTTGTAAAAAATGATATAGGTCTTCCACACCACTGAGAAATAATAGGGGAAGTTGAAGCAATCTATTAAAGATTTATTAAAAATTTATGAAACTGCATCAAATTTGACCAAATTTAATTATGTATGGAAAATAATTTATCCCATGAAAGCCCACTGTGTGCATCTTTACATTACTTTTATAATGGCTCAACTTCCCTATAAAATATTGTGCTAAAATACTCATATAGCTATTCTGGGGAGATAATCTGAGAATCATTTTAAAGTACCTCTGAAAGAATAAGTAAATTAAGTATATTCTATCACAATCCCATTGCTTTCATATGTGTCAGATGAACTCATTTAGTAATGGAAAGGAACAATGGAACTAAATTTAGAAATTTTGGTTCAATTCTATGTATTCACATTTATATCCATCTGGTCTCAGGCAAGTTTTTATGTCTCTGAGCCACAGTTTATTCATCTTAAATTGACAGAAATGACAATCTCTTAGGTCATATCCAGTTTCAAGGTTCTAATTCAAGTGAGTGGACTTGATGAGGTGCAATATTCTGATAGCCTAACCAGTGTCCAGGGTAAACAAGAAGATAGTAGGATCATTAAACAGTAATAAACTTCAGTAAACTTGGTTTTTATGATTCAGTGAGGGGAAGAAAGGAAGAAGGTTTTAAAATAAAGTAAAAAATGTTTATTTTACTGATTTTATATGAGACTACAAAAACAGAGCCAGGGAATGTATAGGAGAGATTTTTAAAAGGTTCAGAATATTTGCAATGACAGACATCATTGTGTACATAAAAAAAGAAAGAGAGAAAATATTTATTTCAACTTAAGCATTTCCATAAATGCCCTAAATCCATATCCCTCAGAATTTATAAGTTCCTTATCCAGGTTTGGAAGAATATTGCTATATTTAGAACAACTACAACTTCTCATGCACAATATCCAGAACTCAGTACAATATTATTAGGCCTACCAAGCAAGAAGATCATGAGAAAAAATAAAAATAAAAAAAGACACCCAGATGATCCAATTATTACAGTGATCTCACAGATCACAAAAAACTATGATTAATGTATGAAATGAATACATAAGGTAAATGATTTCACCAGAAAACTGTAATCTATTTCTGAAAGGAAAATCAAAATTCTAAAGCTTAAAATTTCATAATTGAATTTAGACTCAGTTGATGAGTTTAATAGATTAAACTAAGAAGAAGAGAAAGTTGCTGAAATAGAAGATTGGCCATAAGAAAATATCTAGCATGCAATAAAGAGACCAAAAATGATTTTTTAAAAAAGAGAAGGGCACGGAAGATACAAGAGATGTGCTGAAATGATTTAACACACATATACCTTGAATATGGGAGGAGTGAGGTAGAAGAAATATTTTAAGCAATACTGCTGAAATTTTTCCTGTATTGATGAAAACATGAAGCCACATATTCAAGAAGCTTTTAAAACTGCAAGCAAAATAAAAACAAAGAAAACTAAAAGTGGTCATATAATGGAGTTACTGGAAGTCAAAAACAAGGAAAAAGTTACAGGCAAATTTGGAGACAAAGAAAAAAGGCTCATCACCTGAAAAATAAATTTGACAGCCATTCATCTCAAGAATGACATTTATTTCAGGAAGGTCATCTTGGACATACTGGGAAAAAAATAACTTCCAACCCAGAATTTGATACTCAGCAAAAGTATATTTCAAACATGATGGTGAAATAAGCATATTTCTGATATATAAATAGAGAATTCTTTACTACCACTAAAAGAAATATTAAAGAATTTATTCAGAAGAAAAGTGATCCCAGGAAGAAAAAAAAAGTAATTATACAAAACAAGAATGATCATGTAATTTGTGCCTATAATTTACATACAATTAAAATGCACAGCACCAAAAATAAGTGGGAGTAAGTAAAAAAAATTATTATTCAAGGATGTAGCATTATCTGTAACTGGTCATTTAATTTAGATTTTAACAAGCCCCATGATGTTTGTTTCAATATCCAGGAAATCAAGAAAGAATTAGTAAAAGGATGTGAATTTTAAAAATAGGGAAAATAAAATAATTACAATATATAAATCGGGATGAAGACAAATAGGAGGAATAGAAGTAAACTTTTTAAGAATTAGAAAAAAAAACTACAGCAAATATAATTAATGATAAAGTCGTAAAAACTTTCATTTTGACTTCATAAATGAGGAAAGGATGCCCACTATTGCCATTTCTATTTAACATAGTACTAGTGGTCCCGCCCAATGCCATAGGCACATGAAAGACATAAAATTGGAAAGGAAAAAATACTACTCTCATTATTTGCTGACAGTATTGTTTTCTCTATTGAAAAATACAATGCATCTATAGATAAATTATTAGAATTAATTGGTAATTTTGGCAAGTTAGCTACATAACATGTCAATACAAAAATGCAACATATATTAAAATGTACTATTACTGAAGAGAAAAAAAATTAACTTAAAACATATGCATAATGATTATAACTGGAAAATCCCTAAGAATAAATCTAATGAAAGATGTATAGGACCTTTACACAGAAACTTTTATTTTATTTTATGTAGAGAAATAGACCATGCTTATGAACTGAATGACTTATTATTGTAAAGTGTCAACTTGTTTCTTGTTTCTCAATAGACTCAGTGCAATCCAAATAAAAATTTCACCAAGTTGTTTTAATGGACTTTATATAGAAATCTAAGTGGAAATGAAAGAAGCAACATGGCATTGATGTAAAAATGAACACAAAACTCCACGTTAAATAGATTAGAACAACAAAGGGCCATGCCTACATAATGGACAATTGCTTTGTAAAAACTGTGGAACTCATTTTTAAGAAATGATCTTGGTTCAGTTGAATATCCTTGGGGGAAAATTCATCTTGGTCCCTATGTCACAACAAAGACAAAAAATTCCAGTGGGCTGTATATTTAATGTGGCCAATGAAACAAAAGACAGCAAAGGAATTATCTTCAGACATAGAATCAGGAAAATTGATAAATTAAACGTAAATAAAAATAAAATTTCCTAGTCACCAAAATACAAAAGAATGAAAAAAGTCATAAAGTAAAAGTGTGCAAAACCAAGAAAGGAGTTATGTCTCGATTATAAGAAAATTTCAAAAAGCAATAGGAAAACAGGCAGGAGACTTGAATAGCTATTGCACAAAATATGATATTAAGATGGCCAACAAGAAAGGAGGTCACTCTCATTTATAATTCAGGAAACATAAAATGGGAACATTAAACACACCCAGAAAATGACAACCATGGAAATAATCGGAAAATGCCAAGTTTTGGAGATGATATAAAGCAATAGGAATTCTCAAACATGGCTACCACGAGTATAAAGAGGTAAAAATATTTGGAGAAATTGTTTAGTATATTAAAAATGAATATAAACACATATTGCATATCCCACTAATCTCAATCCTACTTAAATAACACAGAAAAGTGTGTATAAGAACACTGACATTTCTACAAATACATTAATGGCAGCATTATATGAAATAGATATAAAGAGAAACTATGCAAAACCCTTGACAGTGGAATAAATATCTTATTATCATAAACTACTAGAGAGAAAAAGAATGAACGCCTACTAGATATGGCAATATCAATGATTTCATCACAAACATGCACACACGTAACACATTTTCTGCAAATCACTTAAATTTCAGGAAACGGGTCAAAGTTAATTACTTATAATGTTGAAACTGTGGTTATATTTGGGGGAGAAAAAAGGGAAATTGATTTCAGAGGTGCATTTAAGTGACTCCTAGAATGGAGGTAACAAAGTTCACACTTTCAAATAACTCAGCTACATTATACAGTTTTTGCACTTTTCAATGTATGATACGCAAATAAGATCAAAAGTCTCTAAACAGCTGACTATAGCAGAATATAAATAGGTGAAGATAGTAAGCACAAAATTCGTAACACTAGTTATATGAATATGCAATGAATAATGAAGATGAAATGTAACACAATTTATATTGCCTTGCTGTCCTATGCTACTAAAAGATATTAGTTTAAATGGTTGTACAACAAGAAGCAAAGATATTTAAGGACAGAAATTTCACTCAGAATTTTTTAAAGAAGTTGATAGAATTAAAAAATGAAACTTCAGATTAAATAAAGCATATTTATAAACTAACCTTTGAAAGGGAATTTCCAATTGCTGCCTGCAGATTCTCTCTGTCCCTAGAGTCGGACAGACTGGGGCTGAAGGCCATGAGGTCGGCCTTGGGCGGCCCCTCCCCAGAGCACACCCGCTGCCGCCTGGGCTGCGAGCACGACCAGCTCCCCACCGCGCTGGAGCACACCAGCGGGGGCCGCCCCGGCCCGCACGCGCCCTCGCTGCGCGGCGCCGAGCACCGCAGCGCCGTGTACAGCAGCAGCGTGAGCACCAGCAGGCTGGACACCGCGCAGATGCCGACGACCAGGTACACGTTGACGTCCACCAGCGCCGCCTCCGTGCTCCGGGCGCCCGCCGACGCCCGCGACGACGCCCTGGGCGCCTGGCCGCTCTCCACCAGCGACAGCAGCACGGTGGCCGTGGCCGTCAGCGCCGGCTCGCCGTGGTCCTTCACCAGCACCAGCAGGCGCTGGCGCGGCGCGTCCGCCTCGTCCAGCGCGCGCGTCGTGCTCACCTCGCCCGTGTACAGCCCCACGCGGAACGGGCTGCGCGCGCCCCCCGCCGCCGCCTGCAGCTCGAACGACAGCCACGCGTTGTAGCCCGAGTCCGCGTCCACCGCGCGCACCTTGGCCACCACGTGGCCCGCGCCCACCGACCGCGACACCAGCTGGCTCGTCGCGCCGCCGCCGCCCGCCCCAGGCGGCAGCAGCGCGGGCGCGTTGTCGTTCTCGTCCAGCACGAACACCTGCAGCGTCACGTTGCTGCCCAGGGGCGGCACGCCCGCGTCGCGCGCGCTCACCTGGACCTGCAGCAGCTCCAGCTCCTCGTGGTCCAGCGGCTGCAGCGCGTACACTTTGCCGCTCTCCGCGTGCACCGACACGTAGCTCGACAGCGCGCGCTCGCCCACGCGCCGCTCCACCAGCGAGTAGGACACCCGCGCGTTCTCCTGCGCGTCCGCGTCGCGCGCCGACACCGTGAAGATGTGGCGGCCCGGCGGGTTGTTCTCCTTCACGAACACCGTGTACTCGGGCTGCGCGAACGCCGGCGCGTTGTCGTTCACGTCGGCCACCTGCACGGACACGCTGGCGGTGGCCGACAGCGGAGGCGAGCCCCCGTCCCGCGCTGTCACCAGCAGCTCGTAGGTCTCCACGCTCTCGCGGTCCAGGGCGCTGTCCAGCACCAGCGAGTAGTAATTCTTGAAGGTGGACACCAGCTTGAAGGGGACGTGGGGCGCCAGGGTGCAGGTCACCTGCCCATTGGCACGGGAGTCGCGGTCGGACACGCTGATCAGGGCTATCACCGTGCCAACTGGAGCATCTTCTAACACAGGTAACGATAGTGATTTTATGACCAACTCAGGTACATTATCATTGGTGTCTAAAATTTCCACAAGAACCGTGCAATGACCTGCCATTGGCGGGTTTCCTTTATCTGTCGCTTCCACCTGGATTTCATATAATTTAGTTTCCTCAAAGTCTATGTTACCCTTTACCCTGATGTATCCATTAACCGGATCTAAGTGGAATTTTGACAAAGTATCTGTTGACGTGTCTGTATTAAGAGAATATACAATGTCCTTATTTATTCCTTCATCCAAATCAGAGGCGTTAACAATCACTACTAGGGTCCCGTTTGGTGAATTTTCGAATAATCTGACTTTGTAGACAGCGCTCTCAAACTCTGGGGCGTTGTCATTTACATCTAGAATTGTGATCTTCAGTTGAGTAGTACCCGTGAGCTCTGGTTTCCCACCATCAACTGCCGTTATTAGTAACTGATGCTCAGGAGTGTCCTCTCTATTTAAAGGTTTTTTCAACACGAGCCCAAGGGATTTCATTTCCTCATCATTTCTTTTAATATCCAAGGTAAAAAAGTCATGTGACTTAAGACTGTAGGTCAACAACGAATTCGCTCCGATATCTGCATCTGATGCGCCCTCTAGCGGAATCCGAGAACCAGGCGGCCAAGATTCATAAATAAACAAATTTTTTACTGTCATTTGAAAAACCGGCGGATTATCGTTAATGTCCTTCACCTCCACCTCCACATGGAAAACCTGCAGCGGCCTGTCCACGACCACCTCCAGGTGGATGCTGCACTCTAGGCTCCGCCCGCACAGCTCCTCGCGGTCGATGCGAGAATTCACAAACAAAATGCCATTCTGCAGATTTACCTCCAGAAGGTCCCCGCGGCCTTTGGACGCCACCCGGAACAGGCGCGGCACCAGCTCCGCCAGCTCCAGCCCCAGATCCTGGGCGATGCGGCCCACGAAGGTCCCGTGTTTGGCCTCCTCTGGGACCGAGTAGTGGACCTGGCCAGTACTGGTCTCCCAGACCGGAAAGAGCAGAAACAAAAGCAGTAGTCGCCGCGCCCCGAGATTTTCTTTCCGAGAAAATACCATTGCAAGCCTTTCCCAAATATTGGATCGCTCTTGCATCTATCCAAAATTAAAAATATGAGTTTCTTATTCGTCATTTCTTAAATGACCTTTAAGGAAGCCCATATTTTAGAGATGGTGGAAAAAAAACCGTATCTGAGTACGCAATGCGCGCTGTTTTCTTTTGTGGTGAAAGACGCGGTGGACAGCGACATCATGTGGCTAAACTTGTAAGTATTAAATACATGTATTTATCTTTTCCTTATACTTCATTTGTAGAATTTCTATTTCCAAAATTTCTATTTCCGTTGTAATTTATTTCAAGAAAATCTCAAGATCCATATATCTTACCAAAACATATCCTTAGACCTTTTATGCTAATTTGTCTATTTCAATTATGCCTACCCATGGCTTACAGCTAAATGTAGTAAAATAGTGATTACTATTATAACAGTAGTGCATACCTATATGGAAATATTTTCTATGTGACAAGCACTGTTTATTTGGTTTAATGGGATTATCCCATTTAATTTTCACAACAACCCTCTGAGACAGGTATTAGAATGATTGACTTTTTACAAACAAGCAAGTGGAAACACAGTTATTAGGTTCATTTCTAGATTAAATAACTAAAAAGTTATATTAACTGGTGGTGTTAGGGTGGGGTTGACCTTAAATTCTACATTTTATAGAACAATGAGGCCATTGATATTTGTGACCTTCAAAACACTGAAAATATATGTGTATACCTATCTATAGACACAAACATATTTACTTCTGTATTATAACTGTTAATGTGCAAAATATGTTCATTTTATTATTTGTTGAGTGTCTGTAAACCACTTTTGTGTCCTTTGTCTAACAAGTATATCCTTGTTAGCTGTCTTAACTGTTATTTACATAAAAATATCAGAAGTAAGTTTTACAGTGCCATTCTGTAAATTTGTTTTTTACTGCATGACAACACTGTGATTTGGATATTTATTTCAGTCATATCACACCAGTTAACAGTATATTCGTTTTTTTAGTCTCCACACCATTTTGTATTTCAATTTATCTATATATCGTAAAATGTTCACAATATGAAATAATTGTGTTTTTAACAATCGGCATTCTAGATGAATTTCTGGATTCCATTTTCCTAAAAACTTGCTAGCTGAAAGCATTGGTGATTTAACCAATCATTAAAGGGAGAAAAGTAACTTTGGAACATGACTCACTACTCAGCATAGGCTACATGAAGCAATGAAACATTCTAAAGATTTCTGTGAATTCAGTGAGATGCATGAGTTCTCTGAACACTGGAAGTTGAGCAAAGAAAATTCATGAGAAGAGGTTGAATTTAGATGGGTAAGATAATTCCAAAATTTGAACACAATAAGACCCTTTTAATTTAAAGGTGACTTAAGTATTAGAAGAAAAGTTTTCATAACAGTTTTTTTTCTGGGTACTCACTGAGTGTAAAGCCAGGATTACAACTAACTTATATTTTATCATTCATATTTAAAATAGACCAAATCATCAGTTAATGTTTTAATGGGTAAATAAGTGAACCTTTTAAACCAGCTTTCTCAAGTAACATAAGAGGTAAGGTATATTAATGACATTTGGTAATATCAAACTTTCATAATTTCTAATACATTCTATTGTACTAGTTCATGAACAAGTAAGTAAACATTTTAGAACTGTTTTGGAAAAAGCATGAATCTAGGAAATAATTATAAATATCAATATACCTGTTAGAGTGTTGATGACTCTTCAGAGCTAGTTATTGATAAAATGCCCTTGAAAACTTATTGTAATGCTATACATTTGACATTTAAGAGTATACTAAATGCAAAATGGGATGCCACAATGAATTTATACCAGAATAGCTCCATAATGATTATTAGGAGATGAAAGTATACTATGAGTTTAGAAGATTGAGCCAATGTGAGGATATCAGTAAATAACATTTACCCTCACTTAGACATCTCTTCAGGCAACTTAATAAAAAATGTAAATACAGAATAATAAACCAATAGGAACTTATGCAGTGATAGATTGTGGTTCCCAGAGGTCTGGGCATACCTGAATATATTTTTTAAAGCTCAGCATTTACCTATAGTAGAAACACAGTGGCCAGACTTCTAGTAGGACAGATTCCACCTGACCATTCATACTTTGTGTCTCAAGAAGGTGGTGAGCAGATGATACTCCAGGTATCTTCCCAAGAAAGAACTTCTTCCTCGTTTGTTCAAGCCATTTGTTTTTCTCTATGAAGACTCAGATGAATTTTTCTGATTCCCAGGAAAAATAAACTCAGCATTTTGAGGCATATCAACTCCAAGGAACTAATAAGTTTCCTGTAGGAGCAGACTATCCTTAAATGGAGTTCAAGATTTCTCCATCAAACTCCTTAGTTCCTTTAAAAACAAATCCCAGATGGAAATTGACACTGTGGTCTGTGAAGTGACTAAAGCTAAGATCATTTAGTGGAAGTAATTTCTATGAATGATCAATATCCACATACATTTAGGAAAACAGCATATAACTAAGAACCCAATAGTAGAAGAAAGTTTTAGTGTATTTAGTATTTAAACTGTTTAGTTTATTTCACCTCGAGACATCTCCCTTTGGTTGAAAGTTTTAAAAAATTCCCTTCCAAGTCTAACATTTACTTGTCAAGTTTAGTGTTTTAATTACCTATCACAGGAGTTTCCAATGAAAATGTAGTCATCCAATACCAACACTTACCTTTTGGAAAAACTCCAAGTTCGGTAGGAATATGGATGCTATCAGGAGAAAATGAGTGAGCTCACAGTCATCAAAACTGTTGTCCCAGGAACAGAGTGTAGTGCCAGAGGCAGGTGGCTAATCTCTGCACATGGGAGGCCTGCATACATGGGCCTGCATACAGTGATACTGGTACTGGAAGGATGATTGACCAGCCCACTAATACAAAGACTGGGTTAGAGTTCTCTCCACTTCTGTGAAGAAAAAGTCCCACTACGAGGCCACCTCATAACGTGATTTTTTAAGTTTTTTAAATTAAAATTGAGAGGGGACTCTTTCCTCAATTAACTATTGCGCCTTAAAACTCCGAGGATTTTGCAAGTGTGGAATCTTTATCCCAAGTGACAGGCTATTTTATAACTGAAAGATCTACCTAAGATTAGCAATTATTTCTAAGTGATTTCATATGTTGTAATAATCTATGAAAGACACTTTTGGAGGTACTGGCATGAAAAGATCCATTCAGGCAGCTTTCAAATACAAGGAAAAGAAAAAATGTCGCATAAACAGATAAGGACAAAACGAATTCTTGATCAAAAGAATAATTTAGGAAATGTCCAGGTATATACTATAGTCTTATTCCAACATATTCTGACAGAATGGATAGATGGTATAACTTGGAAATATGTATTATACAACCATACTCTTTAAATTCTTTCAATTGGGACTTTTTAAAATTGAGAAACATATTTGCAGATAATGTTAAGTTTCCGAATTATTCTCAAGTGTTTTTCAATCCTTTAAGGTCCTGTTATTCATAGAGAGAATTAATTATGGAAAGACAAATGTAAAAATAAGAAAATTATTGAAGTAAATAGATCTCAATGCCATGAAACTGATATGTAATTCATATCATACATTGCAGAACAGGATGATGATATCAAAATAAAGGCAGAGCTATGAATCAAAATAAGTAATAGAATCATAAAAAATAAAGGAAATAAAACAATTCTAGAAGACAGGAAAAATTAAGAGACTCACCCCTCCTAAGAGTTCTGACTCGGAAGATTGTTGTCTTTGTTCTGCGGAGCCTGGATTTTGAGGTAGGCTGGGGCTGAAGGCCATGAGGTCGGCCTTGGGCGGCCCCTCCCCAGAGCACACCCGCTGCCGCCTGGGCTGCGAGCACGACCAGCTCCCCACCGCGCTGGAGCACACCAGCGGGGGCCGCCCCGGCCCGCACGCGCCCTCGCTGCGCGGCGCCGAGCACCGCAGCGCCGTGTACAGCAGCAGCGTGAGCACCAGCAGGCTGGACACCGCGCAGATGCCGACGACCAGGTACACGTTGACGTCCACCAGCGCCGCCTCCGTGCTCCGGGCGCCCGCCGACGCCCGCGACGACGCCCTGGGCGCCTGGCCGCTCTCCACCAGCGACAGCAGCACGGTGGCCGTGGCCGTCAGCGCCGGCTCGCCGTGGTCCTTCACCAGCACCAGCAGGCGCTGGCGCGGCGCGTCCGCCTCGTCCAGCGCGCGCGTCGTGCTCACCTCGCCCGTGTACAGCCCCACGCGGAACGGGCTGCGCGCGCCCCCCGCCGCCGCCTGCAGCTCGAACGACAGCCACGCGTTGTAGCCCGAGTCCGCGTCCACCGCGCGCACCTTGGCCACCACGTGGCCCGCGCCCACCGACCGCGACACCAGCTGGCTCGTCGCGCCGCCGCCGCCCGCCCCAGGCGGCAGCAGCGCGGGCGCGTTGTCGTTCTCGTCCAGCACGAACACCTGCAGCGTCACGTTGCTGCCCAGGGGCGGCACGCCCGCGTCGCGCGCGCTCACCTGGACCTGCAGCAGCTCCAGCTCCTCGTGGTCCAGCGGCTGCAGCGCGTACACCTTGCCGCTCTCCGCGTGCACCGACACGTAGCTCGACAGCGCGCGCTCGCCCACGCGCCGCTCCACCAGCGAGTAGGACACCCGCGCGTTCTCCTGCGCGTCCGCGTCGCGCGCCGACACCGTGAAGATGTGGCGGCCCGGCGGGTTGTTCTCCTTCACGAACACCGTGTACTCGGGCTGCGCGAACGCCGGCGCGTTGTCGTTCACGTCGGCCACCTGCACGGACACGCTGGCGGTGGCCGACAGCGGAGGCGAGCCCCCGTCCCGCGCTGTCACCAGCAGCTCGTAGGTCTCCACGTTCTCGCGGTCCAGGGCGCTGTCCAGCACCAGCGAGTAGTAATTCTTGAAAGTGGACACCAGCTTGAAGGGGACGTGGGGCGACAGAGTGCAGGTCACCTGCCCATTGGCACCGGAGTCACGGTCGGACA